GGGACCTAAAAAACATCTGAGCAATGAATGGGTCTTCACAGATTGCTTTGGTGTGGGATTCGTGCTTTGATCCTATGGGGAGTAAATGAAATGCATGGACAGTTATAAATTAAACTCATGGAAAGAGGTGAATGTGCTGGTTTTAGCTGCCAGCTGTGTAATGATTAAGAGAACAAGTCTTCTTTGAATTTGAACCAGAATTTGCCATTTCTACACTGGATAACTCCTGGGACCATGCATTACCTATAAAACCCTGCGTCTGTAGTTTAGCATCTTAAGTAGCATCTGCTTTATACATCTGCAGTCCTGGACTGTAGAAGCAACTTGTTTAGCTGTTGAAAAATTTGGTCCATTTAGATTGGGAAGCCCCTTTTGCAAAGATTGTTGCTCATTTTATAAACTCTGAATTTTCTAATAGTCCTCAACCATAGTAAAATTTAAAGAGAAGACAAAGGGCATTTAAACTAGATCAGGAGTATACATGAGATCAGTTTTCTTACTTTCATATTGATGTGCTGAACGACACTTCTGAAAATCACTTGAAAACCAATTAGGATGTTTTTTGGGACGATGTTGAGCCAAATCATGTCAGTTCAGTACAATGAGAAACTGGATGTAGAAAAATTTTAAATAAGTTCATGACAATTTCAAAATTGCTAGCAAGAATGATACCTGTCAATTATATATTTCAAGTTGCACAGGTCACCTCGGGCCTTGTTATCTTAATCAGGGTTCTGGAACAAGGATCCATAGAATCTTTTCATGAAAAGATAGACTGCACATTTATATAAATGAAACCACTATTTGCAATTAAACAACACACACACTGCTGCTTTGTACAAACAGCAAAGTCAATAAAACGCCTCTCTGCGGCTCCTGGCGTGGAGATGACTCTCCTGCAGTAGCACTCAGCTTGTCATTAAGAGGTTGAAATTTAAAGTCCAACTAATTCTGAATACCATTACTAATAGATTAAAATTACATTATAAATTAGACCAAGCCATTCAATATGCAAGGCATCAGTAAATTAATTCACTGTAAATTATTCTAATGTTCTGTTTCTCTGAATGTGGTCCTTGGATGACTTGCATCAGAATAACCTTGCGAAGCATTCTTCTCTGCCCTTTAAATTCCTGTCTTCTTTCTAGCCCTAGAACTAATGGAGCAGAATCTATGGGAAAAAGGTACAAATAGCAGCATTTTTAATATCTCCCCAACACCAGGGATTCTTATGCTCTGTCAAGTTTGAGAACAGAGTGGTTTGTTAAGACTGAGATGTTTGAAACATTTGCTTACAGTGTTAGGTTTTCCTCTGCCAGAGGGCAGTGTTCTCTGAAATAAGGCTGGGTTAATAAACCATGCTGGAGGTTAAGTTTTTTGTACTTGTTCTTGCTTATGGAGCCAGTACGCCACGTGTGCTTTTCAAGATTTTGTTAAGATCAAAATCTTAAACACCTAACAGGTGAACTTTCTTTCTTTTTTAAAAATTTTATTTATTATTTTTATTTTATGTATATGTGTGTATTGCCTGCATGTAGGTAAGTGCACCCATGTTGTGCAATGCCTGCAGAGGTCAGAAGAGGCTGTCGGATCCCCTGGGACTGGAGTTATGGACAGTTGTTAGCTGCCATGTGGGTGCTGGGATTCGAATCCGGGTCTTCTGCGAAAACAACCAGTGTTCTTAACTGCTTAGCCAAAATTTTTATGTATTTATTTTTATTTTATGTATATGCCTGCATGTATATAAGTGCACCTGTGTTGTGCAATGCTCACAGAGGACAGAAGAGGGTGTTGGATCCCTTGAAAATGGAGTTATGGACATTTGTTAGTCACCATGTGGCTGCTGGAATTTGAACACAGGTCTTCTGAAAGAACAGCCAATGCTCTTAACCTCTGAGCCATCTCTCCAGCCCCTGTACTTTCTTTCTTATAAAAGATTTCACACTATAGTCCAGTCATTTTTAGGTGATTTTTAAAAACTTATTGTATGCATTATCAGGCATTTGGGTTTTCTTTGTCTTAGATAATGTAATTGTAGTTCACTGTTGATTTGATGCCCAAGGTAGGGACTTTGACTATCCTCCTGACACCTAAACGATAATGATAATCTTGTGGTAAAATCTGCTTACTTTGGGTGTGGTCATGCACGCTGGTGGAGACATGAGGATCACTGGGGTTTTCTTGCTGTCAGTCCGGCTCTACATTCAGTGAGAGAACCTGTTTCAAGGGAGGAAGGTACAGAATATCAGAACAGAATACTCAAGGTCCTCCTCTGGTCTCCAGATACATACACACAGAGGACATGTGTACCCTCACATACACATGCACATATCCCATACACACACACATAAGATGCAATTTGCTTGTGTAGATGGTATGTATATATGTGTGTGTGTATATGCACATGTATATTTGTATATGTGTATATGTGTGTGTGTGCATATGTGTGGGTGCACATGTGTATATATGTGTATGTGTGTATATATGTATGCATATCTATACATGCATACGTGTGCATATATGTGTATGTATATGTGCATAGTATGTGTATATATGTATGTTTATGTATATGTATATATTTGTATATGTGTATGGGTATATGTATATGTGTATATATGAGTATGCTTGTGTATATGTGCATGTGTGTATGTGTGTATATGTGTATGTTTGTGTATATGTATTTATTACTGCATATATGTGTGTATTAATAAGTTCCTGATGTGCCATGACCTGGTAGAAGATGAAGTTTTTTGACAGAATGATTAACAGAAATAGTGGCTGACTTGATCCGTTTGGATAAATGGTTAATCCAGTGCTGCACAGAGCCAATTAAGCATCAACTTAGCTATCACACTTAGTAGCTTCTTCCTCTTGCACAGATAGTTTGCGTGCCTTAAAATAAAATAATATATAAGATAAAATAGAAACGGAACTGTTGTTCTGTGTTTCTGAGCCTTTTTTTTTTTTTTTTTCCCAAGGAGTGCCTACATTGTCCTCAGGGTGGGTTTCTGCAATCAAATGTCAGAGACAGTCTCAAGTGCCTGGATTCTGGAGGTCTGGGGAGGCTAGAGAGAAGAGGAGGATGTGTTTGTAGACTTTGCAACACTGAAGCATGCTGAAATAATAACAGGGCCTTGATGGCTTCCTTTTGGTTTATAGTTTTCCCCTAAAACAGCAGGTCTGCATCATGAAATTGAACACACATAGTAGAAAAATCTTACATGGGCTTGCCATCTTTTAGAATCCTTGCTAAATAATCAACTCCAGATCAGTTTAGTTTGGCATACAGGCGACCAGCAAGAGCCTTGGAGATAAATTCAGTCCAGCAAGAGCCTTGGAGATAAATCCAGTCTGCTGTCTCCACATAGTGCAAAGCTAAGAGGATTCTAGAAGGCAACTGAATGTCTGCAGTGTCTTTTCTCCTTTTCAATGAGCTGTTTACTAAATTCTAGAATCTATAATGAAACCCAGGCTTACTCTGCATCCCATCATAAACAAGCGCTTGCCTTTTGTGCTATCAGGTTTTATGTGAGCAAGTCACCCCAGCTTTAACAGTCTGTGGCATGGAAGGTTCCTGTTTGTTTACATATGCACATATGCACTCTGCGAGAGTGATGGTCACTGGGCTTGGCAGGGAAAAAACAAAAAAACAAGCCTTCCCTCATTTGAATCCAAAAGGCATATACTATTTAAAAAGCTTTCCAATTTAGAGACCTCTAAAAATGGCGTGGTTGCCAAATTGCTAAATTGCTTAGGAAAGGAACTTGAACACGGACAACAGCCTCACAGGACACAGCCTTTACAAGCTAGAGGAGCATTTAAGCAGAATTCTCGCTGCCCTTGCGGATTTCCAAGCTAGAGTCACTGGCTAATCAAACTCTCCCTCCTATCCCTTATGCCTGCTCCTTAACCCCCCACCCCACCCCCAACAAGCTGACTTTTGTTAGGAATGGGTAGGGACTGGGAGGATGCTTTCTTTCCTCACACTCGGAAGGACTTTATAGTGCTTAGCTGGCAGCCCCGGTATTTTGATAAAAGTTACTTCTGAAAAATTTAACAACCTGGGGTGGGGGAATAATGCTATCTCTTGTGTGAGTTGCAATTTTGGGAGATTTCATTGTGAGAAACTTATAAAGAGTCAAGTAGCTGAGAATGTGGGGACAGGATTGTTCAAAGCTTCAGAAAAATAAACAAATGGGAAAGACAGGCAGAGTTACTTGGTTTATAAATTGTAAGATTTTTCCTTGTTAAAAAAAATCATGAAGTTGTGGGGTTGCAGGCATTGAATAACTACACAGTAAACCTTAAAATCTTCGAGCTGGTTTGGAAAGCCTGGTCAGCTGTTTCATTTTTTTTTTTTTTCCTGTTTCATTTTTATCAGCTAAAATACATTTGGTTTCTTTTTTGACAAACCGTGTTTTCGTAAGGGAGGAAAAACGGACAGACACTGTTATTGGCCACAGCTACCTAAGACAGTAAGACATCCTCGTGTTGCCAGAGGATACCACATGAAAGTGTTTTGTGTGAGGGGAGGGACCGGTAAGGGGGTGGGGCAAGGAGGATGGTGCCTCCAGCCTCTTATGCTCAGAGCTGCAATTTGTGAACCAACCGTGATGAAATCGAGCTCTGGACGAATCAGATGAGTCTGTCAACTTCCCAGGTGGGATTGCTTGGAATTAATAGACTGAACTCGGAGCCCCGAACGCAGTGCGTTCAGGGCAGGCTGAGAATACCCTCCAGAAGGCTTTCCAAGAATCCTCCGGCATGGCAAGGTCCTACCAGGTAGGAGGACGATGCAGCGACAGGGGAAGTACTGAATCTTCCCTATCAGTTCCTTTTGAAACCGAATTTTTCCCTTCTTCGAATTCAGACAGCATCTGAGGATGCATTTTGGAAGTTGCAGAACGGGTTGTTGGAGTCATTTGAATTGCATTCATGAAAGTTGTCTGAGTCCCGTCTCGCTGTGTTTGACAACTTGGTCGATCTCTTTACTTCCTCAGGTAATGTCCTTGTTCATTTTTGCGGTTGGTATCAATATCTGCTTAGGATTCACGGCGAGTCGAATTAAGAGGGCAGAAGGATGGGACGAAGGACCCCCTACGGGTAAGTGCAGCACCTATTACATTTTCGACTCTTAGAAAGTACCGTGCACGAGGCAATCCATGAGAGCCCTCAGAAATTCATCTTTAAGATGGCTTTGCAGGATAACTAACCTAACCCTAGATTTCTCTGTGATAAAGCTGATCATGTCTATAATTCAGATGGAAAGACTGCTGTTTTAATTGTAGGGTATTTATTGTTGCCACACAAAAAATGACTGACTTTTTGTACCCTGAGGTTTAAAAATATTGAAATAAAATGAAAACCTTTGCTCATAAAAAGTTGAAATAGTTGTAGTGAGAACACATACTGGTTTAATACTGGAAATGAATGAGACTGGTGTATTGTCATGCGATACAGAATATATTATTTGCTACCAGAAAGTTCTGCCCCAGGAACAAGAAAAATGGAAGTGAAAAAGGCAATGTGCTGTTTTTATGAAATTTTAGAAGTTTAGAACTTTGAGATTAAGATTTACTGAAAACTGGTAAACCACGAAGTGGAGGAGGTCTTTGAGAACTTACTGGGTTGGTTTGCATTCATTGTGTTTCCCTCTGGCATAAGGAAAGGTAAGTTTTCAGGGTGTCCCTGACTTAGTTAACAGCCAGAGTGAAAGAGGTTTCTTTTACAATGTGCTGTACCAGGGCAGAGTGGGTTTTTTTTTTTTTTTTTTTTTTTTTTTTTTTTTTTTTTTTTTTTTTTTTATAAAGGAGTCCCTTGTGCAGGCTGAGGGGGCTTAACTGACCAGGTCTTAAGCAATGAGTTGGTTAATTTCCTGGAAATTGGAGCTGCTGGTGGTTTTAGAAATAAAAATTACATTTGAAATAACAGGTACTCCAGGGGGCAATATTTTCTTTGCCTTCCCTGTCATCCTACCATGTTCACCAGTCTTCCTGTGAGTTTTGTGTTTCTCTGTATTTCTTGATTGGAGCACTATGAGAGGCCACCTGTCTCTGTTTCTTTGCCAACATGAGTTTGTATTACTTAAATGAGGTATGATGAGTGCATTGATGTGATACTAAATCTTCTGTACATCAAGTAAATTACATTTGAGTTAGGCCCAAAGGTTAAAAGAACAATATGAAAAGTGGGTAAGCTGAGGTGAGGTATGGTTTGAGGGAAAAGTGAGGAAACAGATCTTAAAAATTGTGGTCCCCAAGGAGCCAAATGGACAAAGCGAGTTGTGTTTTGTTGTGGAGGGAGGAGAGGGATCCCTGGGCTAGAAGAGAAGGCTGTTTTTATTGGAGGCAAATGCTGTCTTCAAAGCATGCTTTTTAACTCATGCTAACATTGTGACTAATAAACAGGGGACCAGGCCCTTGGTGTGGACATGTGGATCTGATAGCACACTGCTAGGTCTTTGCAATATACCCTAAAGGGACAGTTCTCTGTTTCATTTTAATGATATTGAAGGAAATAAATCCTGTTTCTTTAATGAATGTATTATTTTCAAGCTTTGCTTTTTTGGGAACCAGATCTTGATGGTCCCAGCCTGGCATCTTGGGTCCATATTAATGTGGTGATGGGCTGGTCTCTTGTGAGGTCGCTGCCCTTAGCAGAGGAAAAGCCTAGACGATTTCTATTTTTCCTTCTGAATTATAAAGAAGTTTGCAGTTCTAGTCATTCTGTTTCATTCCCCCCCTCAAATAGAAAATTTGAAAAGTCTAGATTAATGGTATTAATTCCTGAAACATTTCACATATAATAAATTATTTTCATATGTCTTGAGAAACAGATACAAGAGTGAATGAATACCAGCTGCTTCTGGAAAACTAGGATAGTCTTCATTATAATTTATCAATTAAACAGTATTAACTATACTACAGAATATTTTTAATTGTTTAATAAGGTTATGCATTTAAGTCTTTGTGATATCTAGTAATACTTTATTAACATCTACCAACATGAGGCTTAGTCCTGGGATATGCTTATACAGTATGCTTATACAGATTTTTTAATATTTTATTTATTATTATTTTTTATTTTATGTGTATGCATGTATTGCCCGCATGTAGGTAAGTGTACCTGTATCGTGCAATGCCCACTGAGGACAGAAGAGGCTATTGGATCCCCTGGAACTGGAGTTTCGGACAGTTGCTAGCTGCCATGTGGGTGCTGGGATTTGAACCTGGGTGTTCTGCAAGAATAGCCAGTGCTCTTAACCACTGAGCCATCTCTCCAGCCAAGCTTATACAGTTGTTATTCTTAAATTTTCTTTGGAGATAGCTTACCTGCTGTCTTTGCACTGTGGTTCATTTCTGCTAAAATAAAAAAGTCCGGAGATGCCTTTTAGAAACTGGGGGACAGCATAGTGCAGGCTGTTTTCTATCTTTTAAAATGCTACCTATGCTTGGAAAGGATGTCTCTTAAATACTCTTTGTGATTGGTTTTTCTGTTAGCAAAGCTTTTGCATCCAAAAATATGGTATGAACTTTTTTACATCTATTAGAATAAAACTCAGGAGAGAAAGGAGTCAAGCCTGTTTTCTTTTTTTTAAACAACACTTTCAGACTCCAAAGCAATCCTGGGAACTCGATGCCTCCAGGTGTTTTCGACAAACAGAAGGAACACAAAGGGTGTTCATTCATATGTGGCCAGAGCAAGGCCCACCATTCAGAAGCATGCAGCTTCTGGTTGATGCCTCAGTCTTCTCAAGAACATCGGATTCCTTTGCATGTGTGAATACCCTCTTGCTGCACTGTGAACTGAGATGTTCATTTCAAGGCTGCAGCAGTGCGAACAAATAACTACCTGGCACACTGTTAGGTGGGCTTATTGTTAGGACCTAATGATCTATTGGAAATTGTGGGGGAGTAGGATCATAAGAAGTGTACAAGATTATTAGAAGGTATGAGATGACCAGAGTGAATTATAATTCTTTGGGGTCATAAACACCAAAGTAAATGAGATGGCAGAAATAAAATTCCAAAGAACATGTAAGTAACAAGTGCAGTTTAATTTGACATCTTTGTTCCAAACATCTGATCTGGTTACTTGATTTGTCAAGATGGAGGGAAAATGTCTGTATGTTCAGATTCTCTGCACACTTGAGTGCATGTCGATGTGGGATTCTGTGGTGTTATGGAGGAGTCTATCTTACAGATTTCTTTCAGTTTCCAGGTGAACATGGATGCTCTTTAAAATATAAGTAATGGGATACTTGAATTTGTGAGCTTGTGAATACTTGGCTAATAAAAATCTGATAGCTCAGGCCAATTTATCATTTTTGTTGGCTTTGAAATAGCACACGAATGAATTTGTGGGTGGATAAATTTGAAATGAAAAGTGTCACTAACAATTTTTTGAGATAATAGAGAATGACGCTAGCAATAAGAAGGCTCATGTTCTTTGATAATTTTAGGAATCTCACTGTACACTTGAGCAGAATGTAGGAAAATACAAAACTCATTACTTTGTAGAGAAAGTGATCATATGAGGTATGCTGTGGAATGTGTCTTTATGTTCAATTTAAAGTAGAAAGTGAGGAGCATGAGTCAATGGAATGGTACTATCTCAGTCAGAATGCAAGGAAACTGTAGATTTTTCAGATTTTTGTTGGATGGAACTTTGATGTAGTGATTTTTCCACTTATTTTTATATTATAAAGAATCCTCTTGGGGCTGGAGAGATGGGTCAGTGATTAAGAGCACTGACTGCTCTTGCAGAGGACCTGGGTTTGATCCCCAGCATCCAGTGGGAGAAAAAAAAGAAAAGAATCCTAGGATGTCTATATATCTAAAATCTTAGTATTCTGTGGAATTCTATGGAATTCAACATAGAATTAAAAAAGATTATTATTTTTATTTTATGTGTATGAGTGTATTGCCTGCATGTGTGTAAGTGTACCTGTGTCATGCAATGCTCACAGAGGTCAGAAGAGGGTGTCAGATCCTCTGGAACTAGAGTTATGAACTGTTGTTAGCCACCATGTGGGTGCTGAGAATTGAACCTGGGTTTTCTACAAGAGCAACCAGTGCTCTTACCACTGAGCCATCTCTCCAGCTCCTCAACGTAGATTTCCAAATCAATAAAAATAAACCAATCTTTCAAAATTGTGATTTGCAAAGGACTTCCAAACTTTGGAGGGTGTATGCAAAACTGAAGAACACTTAGTTAATGAAAATAGGATGTGGTGGTGCATGCCTATAATCCTGGTACTTGGGAGGCTGAGACAGGAAGGTCATAAATTTGAGGCACTGGCTAGTTGAGTGGCATCCTGAACCTCCTCCACATGCCCCTAGCCTTTCCCTGCTGGTTACACTTCAAGCACATGGCAGACAGAAGGAAACCTGTGCTGTTTCCATGCACTTGAGAGAAAGAACACAGTCGCAACCCAAGCCAGGACCCCTTTTTCACTTTCAGGAGGTACCTGGGCTAAGCAGCAAGGAGAACAAGGAGGGATAGACAGGGAGCAGTGTCCAACCCTGAGAACAGGACCAACCTGTTAGAAGAAACTTAGAAGCCCATCTAGCTTTAGAGTAGGCTGAAATGCTTGCAAATGTAAGTATTGTCTCCGTATTGGCCATCTTCTAGATCTGAACTTTCCGTTTCACAAGAGGGTTTAGAGGGAAATATGGATGAGAGTACAAGTTGGAGTCAGTTTTGACAGTAGCTCTTGTCATCAGGCTCTTCCTGACAGTCTAAATTCTCAGTAGGTTTTTTTTTGATTCTGACTCAGTGCTTTGTTTCACCAGATGTGACCAACTTGGAGACATGTGTGTATCTGTCTGAAAACTTTTAATTACATTTTTGTTTGTTTGTGTGTGTGTGTGTGTGTGTGTGTGTGTGCATATACCCATGAACCCATGGACCACAAATTAATAGCTTTATCTCTGTATGTGTATAGTAAAATGAAGCATCCTAGAAAAAGTGCTTTAATTTAAAATAATCTCATCTGTTTCTGTGCAAATTACAGATTTGAAATAAATAAATTATAATTTACATTGGTGTTTCTTTAAATGTGAAGTTATACTTTGGTGAAAAATAAGGAGCACATAGCCCTG